AAGTGAAAAAAAAACGGCCATGTATACTAAGGCGTTTTTAGCTAAAAAAAAAAAAAAAAACAACCATGTGAAATAAGGTGTTTCGAGCCAAAAAAAAAAAAAACGACCATGTATCGTAAAGCTTTTTTTCACCAAAAAACGACAACCATGTATAGTAAGGCATTTTCAGCCCACAAAAAACGACCATGTATAGTAAGGCGTTGCTAGCCCAAAAAATGACCATGTGTATAATAAGGCGTTTTTCGCCGAAAAAAACGACCATGTATAGTAAGGCGATTTTAGCTGAAAAAAAAAACGACCATGTATACGAAGGCGTTTTTTGGTGAAAAAAAATGACCATGTATAGTAAGGCGTTATTTGGTGAAAAAAAACAACCATGTATCGTAAGGATTTTTGGGTGAAAAAAAACAGACCACATATATAGTAAGGCGTTTTTAGGTGAAAAAAAATGACCATGTACAGTAAGGCGTTTTTAACAAAAAAAAAAAACAAACGACCATGTATAGTAAGGCGGTTCTTCGTTGAAAAAAACAACCATGTATCGTAAAGCGTTTTTTCACCAAAAAAAGACGACAATGTATAGTAAGGCATTTTCAGCCCACAAAAAACGACCATGTATAGTAAGGCATTTTTAGGTGAGAAAAAAATGACCATGTATATTAAGGCCTTTTTAGCCGAAAAAAATGACCATGTATAGTCAGGCGTTTTTAACGGGAAAAAAATGACCATGTATCGGAAGGCCTTTTAAGCCCCCAAAAATGACCATGTATACTAAGGCGTTTTTAGCCGAAAAAAACGACGATGTGAAGTAAGGTATTTTTTGCCTACAAAAATGACCATCTATAGTAAGGTGTTTTTAGGTGAAAAAAAACGACCATGTATAGTAAGGGGTTTTGAGCCGAAACAAACGACAATGTATACTGTGCCATTTTTAGCCGAAAAAACGACCATGTTTAGTGTGTCTTTTTTTCTAAATTTTTAAAGATGGCCATGTATAGTGAGGCGTTTCTTTTAAAAGACAAGCATGTACACGAAGGTGTTTTTTTAAAACCTGACCAAAATGTCTGTTGATTATCATAAAAACATTTGAACATCCAAACGCCACACAGGTCGGCTGGAGCGGGACTCGAACTCTGCACCTCTACGCTGGGAAGCCAACGCTCTATTAAGCCACGGGCCCGGAAGTGCAAGTCAGTTTAGTTCTGTGATATACTTCTCTGAAGGCCAATGTTGGCGCAAAATGTCTCTTGATATTCAAGTAACCATCAGAACATACAAGTGTCACACAGGCTGGCACTGGACTCGAAACCTGCACCACTGGGCTGGGAAGCCAATGCACTAACTAGTTGGCCACCAGGCTGATTTTTTTTTCAATTACTTTGTTGCTAATCTACTAGAATGCACTGAATGGTGATGTGTCAAAAAAACGACCAAGGCGTTTTTAGCCCAAAAAAACAACCATGTATAGGAAGAGGTTTTCAGCCCACAAAAAACGACCATGTATAGTAAGGCGTTTTTAGCCAAAAAAAAAGACCATGTATTCGAAGGCGTTTTTAGCCCCCAAAAAACGACCATGTATAATAAGGCGTTTTTAGGTGAGAAAAAAAGACCATGCATAGTAAGGCGTTTTTAGCGCAAAAAATGACCATGCATAGTAAGGCGTTTTCAGCCCACAAAAAGTGACCATGTATAGTAAGGCGTTTTTAGGTGAGAAAAAAAGACCATGTAAAGTAAGGTGTTTTTAGCCCAAAAAAACAACCATGTATAGTAAGGTGTTTTCGGCCCACAAAAAACGACCATGTATAGTAAGGCGTTTTTCGGTGAAAAAAAACGACTGTATAGTAAGGCGTTTTTAGCCCACAAAAAGTGACCATGTATAGTAAGGCGTTTTTAGGTGCGAAAAAAGACCATGTATAGTAAGGCGTTTTGAGCCGAAACAAACGACCATGTACAGGAAGGCCATGTATAGGAAGCCGTTTTTAGCCCAAAAAATGACCATGTCTAGTAAGGCTATTTCGGTGAGAAAAAATGTCCATGTATAGTAAGGCGTTTTTAGGTGAGAAAAAATGTCCATGTATAGTAAGGCGTTTTTAGGTGAGAAAAAATGTCCATGTATAGTAAGGCGTTTTTAGGTGAGAAAAAATGTCCATGTATAGTAAGGCGTTTTTAGGTGAGAAAAAATGTCCATGTATAGTAAGGCGTTTTTAGGTGAGAAAAAATGTCCATGTATAGTAAGGCGTTTTTAGGTGAGAACACAAAAAACGACCATGTATAGTAAGGCGTTTTTAGCCGAAAAAAACGACCATGTATAGTAAGGCGTTTTTCGGTGAAAAAAAAACGACTATGTATAGTAAGGCGTTTCTTTGGTGAAAAAAAGACGACCATGTATAGTAAGGCATTTTCAGCCCACAAAAAACGACTGTATATAGTAAGGCGTTTTTAGCCCAAAAAATGACCATGTATAGTAAGGCGTTTTTAGGTGAGAAAAAAGACCATGTATAGTAAGGCGTTTTTAGCCCAAAAAACAACCATGTATAGTAAGGCGTTTTCAGCCCACAAAAAACGACCATGTATAGTAAGGCGTTTTTAGCCGAAAAAAACGACTATGTGAATTAAGGTGTTTTTAGCCCAAAAAAACGACCATGTATTCAAAGGCGTTTTTAGCGCCCATAAAACGACCATGTATAGTATGGCGTTTTTTGGTGAAAAAAAAATGACCATGTATAGTAAGATGTTTCTTTGGTGAAAAAAACCCACCATGTATAGTAAGATGTTTCTTTGGTGAAAAAAACCCACCATGTATAGTAAGGCGTTTGTAGCCCACAAAAAACGACCATGTATATAGTAAGGCGTTTTTTGCCGAAAAAAACGACCATGTATAGTAAGGCGTTTTCAGCCCACAAAAAAACGACCATGTATCGAAAGGCGTTTTTAGGTGAGAAAAAAATGACCATGTGTAGTCAGGCGTTTTTAACAAAAAAAAAAAAAAACAAACGACCATGTATAATAAGGCGGTTTTTCGCTGAAAAAAACGACCATGTATCGTCAAGAGTTTTTTCACCAAAAAAAGACGACAATGTATCGTAAGGCATTTTCAGACCACAAAAAACGACCATGTATAGTAAGGTGTTTTTAGCCCCATAAAACAACCATGTATAGTAACAGGGTTCCACTCTTCCACTTACTTTTTATTTATGGACCTTTCAAGGAATTTTGAGGGCTAATTTAGCCATTTTTATGGACTTTTTCTCTATTCAGCAGGGGATTCACGGTGGATTTAATGAACAGAAAGCCACATATCACTGAGCTGGTGATCAAATCATTGCTCCCAAAGGAAGGGCACATCTTTATTTTTAGGGGCAATCAGCTAACCCTTTATTTGACATCCTGTATGTCAGACTGGCCCGAAATGACCCGAAGTATCACGTGATCAGCATCAGAACTGATCGGAGATGTCGGGAAAAGTAGAGCGGGAACCAGGAAGGCATGTAGCCCGTTTGAGGGGAAGGGCGCCAGGCGCATTTTCCGACAAAACTATTCATTGGAAGGGTGGGGAAAATGACATATACAAATGAAATGAACACCACAGATTAATTTTTAAGGATTTTTATTGATTTTAGAAGCTTTCCCTGAAAATTAAGGACAATTAAGAACATAATTTTACAACTTCTTTTTTTATGGATTTTTATAAACTTTAAGGACCCGTGGGAACCCTGTATAATTCGTTCAATGAATTGATTTCCACAATGATCAAGATGGATTGTTCCATAGAATATTCCTATTTTTTTTAATCCAGTATAATACATCAAGTACAGTTCAGTTGTAGTTAACTCTAAACTGTAATACAGTTGTTTTAATAATGTGTGTGTGTGTGTGTGTGTGTGTGTGTGTGTGTGTGTGTGTGTGTGTGTGTGTGTGTGTGTGTGTGTGTGTGTGTATATGTGTGTTTGCAAGTCACCTGTCCTGCAGAGCAGCACCGGTGTATAAGTGGCGCCAAGGAGCGCGTAGTGTAAGACGCTCTGCAGCATGGGAGCGTCCACCCGGAAGGCGGAGCTTAAATACTGAGACGACACGGCCGTACCGCACACCAGCGCTGCCAGGACCTGACCCAGGGCCAGGGTGCGAGCCAGACGCCTGTCAAAAGAACTCGCTCACAGGTCAAAGGTCATACATGCACACGCTTCCCGGTGGACTCACCACGTTAAAGCCTCCGTGAACCTGGCCGGCGAACATGCGCCAAAGCCACCCCGCTCGGGACGGACCTCCGGATCTGCGTCCGGAGACATCACGGAAGAGTCTTGTCACTGCCAGGGAGAGGTCTCCTTCAATGACTTTTTGTGTCTTCACTCTTAACACTCAATGATTTACTAAGAGAGGGCAATAGTCACACATTACCTTATCAACACGTGTGTGTGTGTGCGTGTGTGTGTGTGTGTGTGTGTGTCTGTGTGAGTGCGCATAATGACATGACGCAGCTTCTGTTAACATCAATGAGCCGCAGACAGCTGGCAGAGGCTAACTCTGGTTTTGTTGTTTTGTAGGAGAGTGTGTGTGTGTGTGTGTGTGTGTGTGTAAATCGTTCGATCAATAGATATACACTGTGTAAATCGATCGATCAATAGATATACACTCACTCTCTCTCTCACACACACACACACACACACACACACACACACACACACACACACACGACGACGACTACTACTACGACTACTTTGTCTTAGGATAAAAGTGAGTGTTTTAAGTGACAAAGTCACATAAAAAGTTACATCTATAACCAACTGAAAATTTGTTGTTCAGTGACAAAGGGCTGACAAATGTGTTTTGATGTGAAAAGAAATAATGTCTGGATGTGGAACTTACCAACGTGTAACGTCTTCCAAGATGCTTTGTGTAATAGATGAGTTAAAAATGCATTATAAACAAATAAACCTGTAATAAATGAGTGTTAAAGTAGCTGTATGTAAACATGTTATAAACACATGATGAATTCACAAATAATTCATAAAGGATGTATTAATAAAGTTATGAAGGAGTAAAAATGGAATAAAGGTTGAGCAAAAAATTAGTTTAATAAATGGATGTCCAACGCAGATTTTGAAATTTTGAAATCCACACAGTACGTGAACAATGGCATCATCAAAGTGCAAAGCATTCTGGCCTACTTCACGGTTACGAACGTACAATTTAACATTTGAAAATGAGAATGTTGATGTATTTTTGACACTAGTTCATGTTTTTGCTTCAATAACGATGGTTACAAAGACACGAAAGTGGGTGGGGACCAACAGAAAGCAACAACCAATCATAGTGAAGGTACCTGATGACTGACAGATGATGCGTAGCCCCCCTCAAAGAAAAGTTGGTCGAGGAATGTACTGGATGTAAACAGACCACTTCAAACTGGAAGACTGATTGTTGGTACAAACATGAAATAATATTAGTGTAAAGTTGTTGTGTAAGATGTAAAGTTGAATGACATTTCTTCATGAGCTACAGTAACGTGTGCCAAAATCAATATACAATTATAAAAATACGTTAAAAAACTGATATCAAACCAAGATCATATGCATCAGGTATAAATGAAATGGAAAGCGACCGGAATGAATCAAATTGAATATGAATATTAAATGTGACGTCATAAAAATGTGAAAAATGGCACAAAGTGGAATGAAAGTTTTCAAAATAAAATCGATATATAAAAATAGAAAAAAGTATTGGAATAAAACACAATTTAAAAGGTGAAACAAAATGAGAAAAAAATGAATAAAATTGAGAAAATGACAAATTAAAGATAAAATAAGAGGGAATAAAATAAAGATATTTGAAATAAAAACAAGGTGAGATAAAAAAATTAAAATGTAAAAAAGGAGATGAAATAAAAAGAGAAAAACAGTATTTTTATTTGTAGAAATGAAGTGCAGATGAAAAGAAAATGAAGCGACAAAACACAAAGATAAAACAAAAAAATGTGATCAAATAAAAACAGAAAAACAATCAAAACAAATCAAAATGAAGTGAAATAAAAGTAAAATAAAACTGTTCCCCCCAGAAAATAAATCTTCATTTAAAAAGATGAAGAGAAATGAACAAAAAAGTAATCAAATGAAATAAATCAAATAAAAACCAAAACAAATGAAACTACTAAAGTAAACAATGAAAAACTTGAAATGACAAAAAAAAACCAAAAACAAAAAAAAACTGTAAAATGTTTTTTTACTGACTGTTCACTGCTATTGACTAAACAAATAATAAAAATGGAAAGAAATGTCATGAAAACACAATTTAAAAAGAAATCCACTGGAATAAGGAGGCGCAGAGTCGTAGCGGAGAGTGCGACGTCTCAGAAGCTGGTGAGTATAGCGCTGGTCACCACGACGACGCTGAGAGTCCCCGGGAGCTCGATTCGCTGGCCGCTTTTGGCCCGCAGGTGCATCGTCTTCTTGATGTCTCCCGACTCGGTGGACAGCGTCAGCTCGCCCAGGAACGAGTCTATCAGCCTGTTGGAGTTGTACACCTGACCCAGCACCACAACGACCCCGACGTCAAAACTTTCACATGGCACGCATACACATGCACACGCACCTGGATGAAGATTGGCTCGCTGCTTTCCTTCCGGTAGAAGATACCCTTGGTGTCAAAGTTGGGATTGCGACTCCCGCCATGGGTGGCAGAGCGAACTGTCTCCCCTTCGCAGCGGATGGTCAAGTACGTGTTGTTTCCTGCGCGCAACACAAACACACAGACTGACAGTCAAGCTTGTACAAAGGAAAAAAAAAAAAGGAAGAAATGAAATAAGATGCCCCGTAGACAATTGAAAATTTCAGGAAATGATGGGCAATTGCAAAAAAATACGGCAAGTGAATTGATATAAACCAATATGGAAATAAAATGACAAACACTGCGAAAAGCATTGAACCTAACTGAAGTAGAATGAAATAAATACGAATGGAAAATATGATGAAATGAAAAGGAGTATACAATTTGAATAAAACGTAATATGTAAAATGCAAATAAAAAATAATCAATAAAAAAATAAATAAATAAAATGAATGAGCAAAATATTTTTTTCAATAGATATCAAGTGGATTAAAAAGGAATCAAACGGATTCATGAAAAACTAAATTTTAAAAAAATCTAATTTGACGAACACAATATTAAATGAAATAAAATGGAATACATTTTTTTATGATACAAAATAAGAATGAAAACAATTTAATAAAACAAAGTGAACAAATTGAATGATTAAATCATTACTCCTGAAAATCTGGACTCACCCCCACTCACCCATTCTGAATATGCTTATATTTATTTATATTTTATAATTTATATTTACTTATATAGTTTTTATTTTTTTAGTTCTCTCTTTCATAATTTTTGCTGCTGTAAATTGGGAATTTCTCCATTGTGAGACAAATAAAGGTTTTCTTATCTTATTTTACACACACACACACACACACACACACACACACACACACACACACACACACACACGCACACTTTTGGAACATGCAGACACACCACCAATAAAAATATTAAATAATTAAAACTGCACTTCAAAATAAAATCTTCACATCTGCCGATACCAAACCGTGAGCATGCGGGGTCCACTGTAATCCATTCCAGCCTACCCCAAGCAGGTAGACTGTGCAGGCTTACCCCTCAACGCGTTGCCTTGGGTCACATGCACTTGCGTGACCAGGGATGGGAAACCACACAAACCCGTCCAGCAGGTGCGAGGGGGCTGATCCAAACACAGCTCCCTGCAGCACACGATAACACACGAAAATCATGGCAGTGACCCCTGTCCAATATATCGCAGGTCATCCTTTCCGACCCCCCTGCTAAAGCAGACATTTTTAAGTAACCGTTCTTTATGGGCTTGGATGATTGTGGGAATTACACTTCAGACCACCCCCATAATAAGTGAAATCTGTAATTTAGAAATACCATATTTACATATACCCTCGGGATGTTTTTATAGCATTTACGTCACTCAGAATTTTTCTTTCAATACACTTTTTAAAATAATACAAACACATTGAAACACATCACGGGATGCATGCACTGGGAGTGGACCTCATTTTTTTTTGGCGGGGGGGGGGGGGGACAAAAAAAAAAGGGTTATACTTATTGTAGCTGAGCAGTTTTCAGTTTCAACTAACAGTGTTCACCACTAGATGGCAAATGTCTCTGACTAGGGCCTCCAACCCCAAATCTTGTACTTGTACGTCAGCAAAGAAGAAGAGTGAGTCCTGTGACAAAATGATGTCTTTCAGACAAAATGGGAAGCAGAATATACCTGCCTAATTTCGTGAGACGCCATCACCCACGACAGCGTTCAAAAGACACCACGACAACATCAATCTCAAAAGTACACAAACAACAGCAATTGAACTGATGAAAGTTCGTTGGAAGTGCATGAGGGGTTACTGTACTATGCTGTACCGTATTGGTTATACAAGTGAGTGAGTTGCTCTATTCATTTGGGGATTTGGAATGAAATGTAGGACAAACATACAGTAGCATGATAAAATCTTTGAGTGAGTTGGTTGTTGGGAGAATGTGCAGAAAAAATGAGTGCTGATAGAATTTGATGGTAGGACTCGGCTATGTGATTATCATTCATTCATTCATTTTCCGATCCGCTTTATCCTTACAAGGGTCGCGGGGGGTGCTGGAGCCTATCCCAGCTGTCTTCGGGCAGTAGGCGGGGGACACCCTGAACCGGTTGCAAGCCAATCGCAGGGCACACAGAGATGAACAACCATCCACGCTCACACTCACACCTAGGGACAATTTGGAGTGTTCAATCAGACTGCCATGCCTGTGTTTGGAATGTGAAAGGAAACCGGAGTACCCGGAGAAAAGCCACGCAGGTCCGGGGAGAGCATGCAAACTCCACACAGGGAACCCACGACTTCTGCACTGTGAGGTCGACGCGCTAACCACTGGCTCACCGGGCCACCTATGTGATTATCATTAGATGAAATTATATGGTTGGGTCAAATACTCTAGATTTTAATTATACAATATTGATTTCTCTTTTATTTGCGTGTTTAATTTTTTTCCAATCATCTATTGCAGGTTCATATATATATATATATATATATAGTGTGTGTGTGTGTGTATTGTGTTCTTGCCTGCAGTATGACGGCACGTCGGTGAAGACGCGCAACAGGAATTCTCCGTCCCGGTCGGGGTCATAGGTGGTTGGCAAGATGACATAGCGGCCTTCCTTAAGGTCCACGCGCAGGAACGCAGACCTTTGGAAAGCAGTTTGAGCATTTATTCCATAACCTTCATATCCATGTACTAGTTTGCTTGTTGGTTATGTTTTTTTCCACTACTGTACACTGTCAGAGAGGGTACGAAAAGTTGTGCCTTGGATGGTCCAATTGGGACACATTTTGGGACACTTTGAATTTGTGGTGTTTGCAGGCAAATACTGTATGTATCCGAGGATACAAGTACAAATAATATTGTCGAGGTAAAGGACAGGCAACATTATAAAAACAGTTCACCCATCACACCTTATCAGTTTTAAGTTGTAATAACATTGCACTGCACTAGCTGACAAACATCTCAGTATTAATTTCACATGCTCCTTTCCCATTCGAGAAGAACGTAGCCGGAATGTTAGTTTTTCACATGCAAGACACAGTCACGGTTTGATGTTGACAACGGACAATTTAAATTGAACGTGACAGTTAAATGAAGACGCACGTTCAACAAATGACAGGTAATCAACTTCATTGAAATGATCAAGATTAACGACCTTATGATTGGAAAGAGTACAGTATCGCATGCCGCATCCTCGGGGGCGAAGAGCAGCCCAAAAGTACACAAGCCCAAGAACCGTTGACAATTCGTTGAAAGTGCATAAAGTTCATTAAGTTGCCCGTCCGTGTCTGGGCTTTCATTGTGAAAGGAATTCCATATCAACAAAAAGGTACAGACTAGTAACATGTTCTTGTCCCACTAGTGTGCTGAATTGTATGACTAGTGAGGACAAAGAGCATACTAGTACTGCACTTGGACCTTAAATTGCTTCTCATGTATATAGAAAGGGCTTTCCATTCCAACCTGGTGTTGCTGTAGGGGGTGCCGGCCACCTTCTGTTGGGGGGCGTGCATACGGTAATTCCGGTTCAGCTCCACCTGCGTGCACACGATGAGAAACATGATGTAAAATCTCATCACCTGACACAGTACAGTAAATGTGATTTTTTTTTTTTTGGTTTGGGGGGGGGGGGGGTTAACAAGACATGACTTAAAAATTTGACAATCATTTTAGCGTGCTTTCAAGCATTTGTGGCGATCAAGTCACATCCTCATACTGTCATTTGCCGTAATGCATGCCAATCATTACAGCAGCACCCAATGGGAAGTTCTTTGAGCATTTATTCCATATCTTTGATATCGAGTTCAAGGTCCATGTGCCAGTGCACTCTTTGTCCACACCAGCAAGACAATTCAGCGCACTACTAAAATGACTGTCTTACTAGTACCGTAATTTCCGGATTATAAGCCGCGACTTTTGTCAGACGCTTTCAACTCTGCGGTTTATTTCATGAAGCGGCTTATATAAAGACCTTTCTAACGGCCGCCTGTGTACCGTCTTTCTTTGTAAATATCTCATGTTACAATATGGGCACCTGCGGCTTATACACAGGTGCGGCTTATGTGTGTACAAAATATTTTTTTCCTTTAAAAATGTAGTGGTGCGGCTTATAATCAGGTGCGGTCTATAGTCCAGAAATTACGGTAATTTTTTTCCACTACTAGTATGGACTTAAACCTTAGTGTGCTGCACTGGTAATATTAATCGGCTCCACTAGTAGGCATGTGCCATGCACTAGTGGCCCTCTGGGACCTACCAGTACTACCAAAAGTTCCATTAATAATTTTGCCTTACTAGTAACATGCAGTTGTCCAACTGGCGAGCCAAATTTGTCTTACTAGTGTGCATAAATGCCATACAGTATTCAAAAAATAAATATTACTAGTATGACAAAGTGGTTCTACTCATGCACATTGAGGTATTAGGTGCGCAAATGTATTAGTCCTTACTGGTAACTTTCCCATACTAGTAGGACAACTATTTCTGACGAGTGAAGCAAAACTGCACATGACCTAACAATTTGTGCGCTAGGACTAGTTTGTGTTGATGTGCATTGCATTGGCTCGCGACTGTTCCATTATTTGTTGATATATGTGGCCTGTGATCGGCTGGCGACCAGTCGAGGGTGACCCCGCCTCTCTGACCTTGTGTACTTCCAAGCCGATGGCCAGGTTCTCTCCTCGTCCTGCCCTGAGCGAGGCCCTGCGGTCCTTCTGCTGCAGACATACGAGAACCTCGTCCTCGGGTTTTGTCACGTCAAAGACGTACTACAACACACGCAACGGTGACAAAGGGAACAATTTGAAGATTAATTTGGACAACTGTTCAAGCCGGTGAGTCATCTGTTCTTTTCCTCAATGTGATGTTATCCCGCGAGAGAGTGAGAAGCAGGACGAAATCCACTTCCAAACTTGTCTGTGGGGGGTGGGGGGAGAGCACTTGACAGTTACATTCGTCGGCGGCAGTAAACGGTTGGATTCCAGTTGATCATCAGTGAACTGATAATGACTATCTTTTGTAACTTTTTATGACTTGCCAAGTTTCACTTTTTACATCAGGGCTTGGTCCCTAAACCTCCATATCAAAAAAGAGGGTTTAGTCATTATTAATGGCCCTACTGATTATAATCGGACGATATTAAGCTGCTTTACAAATTAAGAATCGCCCGGGGTTTTGCTCACTAAACACCAACATAATCTTACTTTCTTGTGAAAAGGCAAGCACCGTTCAGCAGGTATGGGCACGAAGTAAAGTAAATGCATTGCTGAAAGAACATTATTCTTTGCGATTGACATCCTTCTCCAACCTCGAATATGCCCATTAAAAAGCATTGTGTAGGAGTAAATATTTTTGTACTTTTATGCTGGAGAGTTAAACAAATACTACGGGACAGAGTCTTGTAAAACAATCAAATGTTCTGCCTGGAATTCATATCTATGTTGTTGTAAGCGTCAAGGGACCTAAAAATAAGTTATTTTCATTATTATATACTTTTTAAAAATAATCAGCCGATTAATGGTTATCAGATTTTTTTCTGGCCAATATCAGAATCGACTTTGGCGTTAAAAAAAAAAAAAAATAAATCCTTATTGGTCATCCGGTAGTAATTATGATCCATTAGAGTAGGAGAGCGCACGTGAAGGAAGCACAGTGGTGGGGAAGCATTGCATGATGGGATGTGAAAGTCGAGAGCACCTGAGGGTTTTGGAGGAAGGTCTGCTTGTTGTTGACGCAGCCGCCGGCCCGGTTCTTCAGCTCGTCTTCATGGTGAGCCCAGGAGCCGCGCAACACCTGCTCCACCCAGGTCTTGTGCACGCTTATATGAGACGTATTGATCATGCGGCACAGGACGAGGTGCGTGAAGTTGGAGATGAAGTCACTGAATGTCATCCTGCGGGGCAAGAGAAGAGAGGGCATCTGGGACCTAAGTAAGCATGTCGGCCATCCAGGGTCCGACATCGCATGGAAACTCACCAGAACTCTCCATCATTCTGCACGACGACACCAATCTTCTCACGCTCGCCGCTACTGACCTTTTTCCACTCTTCTGAACTGCCAACACAGCACAAGCGGTTATAGTCATTTATCAACCTTCAATGGACTTCAAAGTGTGAGTTTGGGTTACGTTGTGGTTTGTTTGTCACCTGTCACACCAGGGTCCGGACCATTCGCTGCGCCCCCAGGGGTTCCTCAGGCGGATCATATCGAGTTTGTTCGCTCTGAAAAAAGCCATCAAGCCAACACCGATACGTATGCGACGCACGTCCGTTATGGCATAGGCGTGACCTTTGACCAGGCCGTTGGACATGCGGGCCTCCATGTCAGATGCGCTGGTCGCCTAAAAGACATCGCAGTAAGTGACATTAGTGACACCCACTGGTGGTCAACGAGTCATGAAAGGAGAGTTCCAGGTGCATACCTTCACTTACAAGTTTAACTGCTTCTGCGACTGTGATCGTAACTATGGAATTACTCCCCACTGAAATGAATCAAATGTCATCCATCCGTCCCGAAGAAAGCACCATTTTTTGAAGCATTCCGAAGGGTGTGGTGCCCACTTGGGATTTTTTGCTAAATCTGATCTTTTTAGCTTCTCATTGATATTATAAAAAAAAAAATGCTGATTTTAATGTGAACGCAATGCGTCCGTAATGTGACATGGATGTGCACAAATGACATGCACCACCACACACAGTGTTTACAGGAGTAGATATGGTCCCATTTGTAGGGGCTCATTCTATCATTTCATCTCGCCAGGATAGTGAGGTGTGAGGAGGTAGAAATATTTTGGGGATATGAGGCAACGCGCGGCCCGGTGGTCCAGCGGTTAGCGCGTTGACCTGACAGTGCAGAGGTACCAGGTTTGATTCCATCTCCGGCCTCTCTGTGTGGAGTTTGCATGTTCTCCCCAGGCCTGCGTGGGTTTTCTCCGGGTACTCCGGTTTCCTCCCACATTCCAAAAACATGCACGGCAGGCTGATTGAACACTCCAAATTGTCCTTAGGTGTGAGTGTGAGCACGGATGGTTGTTCGTCTTTGTGTGCCCTGCGGTTGGCTGGCAACCGGTTCAGAGTGTCCCCCGCCTACTGCCCAAAGACTGCTGGGATAGGTTCCAGCACCCCCCGCGACCCTTGTGAGGATAAAGCGGATCGGAAAATGAATGAATGAATGAATGAGGCAACGCACCTCGATCTTCTCATTTCACGGAGATATCTACCAAGGTCACACCATTGCCTCAAATCTCCACTTTTTTCAAGTGGGATCACTTTCAAGTCAAATATAAAGACAAGACTGTTAGTCTTTGCAGATTCACAGATAATTGTCAGTAATCTGCCCTCCCAAGCTAGCCATCCCTGACTGCGCAAAGCGCATGTTGGGCTGTTGATGACGTATAGGTCGGATGTGTACGGATGAGTCTTCATACTGCAGACGCATTGCATATATATCAGATTTATATCCACAGACAAAAGAGGCCCAGGCTGGATTATTAAAAATTCAAAATTCTATTGTTTGGACTTGCATATGGGCAAAAAATAAATAAATAAATCGGCTAGTCATCACTCTCTCACTATCAAGAAATGGAAGACCATTGTAAAATATCAGGAAATTAAAAAGGCTCTGGCTTGCAAAAAAAAAAAAAAAAAAAAAAATAAGAAGTAAATGTGTTTGTTTGTCACTCCCAATTGGCACATTAGAGTAAAGAGACTGAAATCATTGTGTATCTAAACATTGAAATGTTCATGCAAACCTTTTAATGTTGCTAGCTTAATGCTAACAGGGTGCAAAACACCTTAGATGGGGTAATGGAAAGAGGCATAGATGTTACAATCATTATAGACCTTCAAACCACTGCTCCTTAAACTCCCACCTCACAACAAACATTGTAGCCAAATGTAACCGCAAAGGACTGTCGCCAAACAATTTCAGTTGCTGACTCTGCCGCACACCGAGCAATTGAGCACCACACATCTACCGACGCGCAGTGGCAAAAATGCCCTGTATTGAATTTTGAGGCTCCACGTACAAAATACTGTTGTGCATTATTTCTTATTCAACCACAAAAACATAGCGCGATTGTCAAGGACTAAGCGAATCTCCTCAATTATAAAAACAAAAGAATCCACGATATAGTATGGGTTGACACTTACCTCTATGGAGGCGCTGATGAGCCCCCCTCTCTCATGGACTTTGAGGACTCGACTGAAGAGCTCCACTTGCTTCTCCGTGTCAAGCTTGACGCCCTTTTCACTTAGGGTTATGGTCTGCGATACGCCGCCCGTGAATTCCACCAGCGCGTCTGCCGTGTTGCCGCCGTTCAGAGCCTCGTAACAGCCGCATGTCCTGGAAAGACAACCGGACTTCACTTCACGGCGTGTCGTAAGGCTGGCCAATGCCTTTTGTCCACAATGTGCATTTGAGTCAAGATACATATTGCTAATCTGCTACTCTAACTTTTCCGTACAAGCCGTGATGAAAAGTTAAGAGTTTTTTTCCATCAAGCATTTGGTGGCGTGACAGCTAATGCTAACAGGAAGTGGGCGTGGGCTTGCGTACTTGGCATAGGCCTTCTCCACCAGGGCGCTCCAGAACTCATTGGCGTCATTAGAGTGACAGAAGATCAGCTTGCCGTTGAAGGTGGGCAACCGGTCGTCAATCACCACGTCCGCCCAATCGCCGAATCTCCAGAAGCGGAAGTGGAAGATGCCGGCGTACAATTTGGGGCGGCTCTTGTCCCACTCCTGGTCTTTCCAATCGGGAATTACCTGTCACAGTGTCACAGTCAGATCACAAATGCCTGTCGTGAACTTACGGCATGTTGGGTAGAAGTTTTGGAGAGTAACTAATTACATGTAAAGAGATTTTGGACTATAACTGCATAATGTATGTACCTGTAACCCATTACATTAGTGGGAGAACGCGTGTAATTAAACTAAATTCCACGATGACAACTTTAGTAACATTTCAAAAATTGCCTCAAAAGCTCAGATTTTCTTTTTGCCAAAGCCGATGCATGTGATTGGCTCTCTATGATCATGTGCAACAACAATGGAGTTAGCCCATCCTTGTCATTTTTAAAGTTAATTCTTTGGCACCAAGATGGCAGCGAAACACTACTTTTGTCTCAATTCAGTTCCCCAAATCACTTCAACATAAATTCCTTGGCACCAACATGCCACAGATGGTGGCATGACAATATTTTTAGCTCTATGAAGCTCCTCAATTCAAATCAACATTGTTCTTCGGCACCAAGATGCCTCAAGATGATGGCAGAGCACTAATCTTGTCTTAATGAAGCCCCTCAAATGACAGAAACACACACGATGAAGACAAAGTACTATTTTTGTTGAAACAAAGCTCCTTAACACAGTTCAAAATAGTTCCTTGGCATCAAGATGCCAGATATTGGGGACAAAACACTACATCTGTCCCAATGAAGCTTCTCAACTTTCAACATTTGGCTCCAACATGCCACAAAACAGCGGAAAAACACTACTTTAGTCTAAATGACACGCTCCAGGACTCACTTCAACGTAACACATTGGTATCAACATGGCAATGAAAGGCGATTAGAAAACTAATTTTGTCGAAACAAAGCCCCCTACAGAGTTTTTGGGCATCGCGATGCCACAAGATGTTGGCAAAGCATAACTTTTGTCAAAATAAACAAGATCCCACGACATGTCGCCTAAGCGCTAATCAGAACCATGAACATGCGAGAGGGTTTGGTTTCACTTCTCAGTTCGGGGACATCAACCCAACACACCGTGCCTCTTGGTGACATACCAACATGTTCACTGGAGCGTGTGGGCACACGCACGTGCACGCACAGCACACACACACACACACACACACACACACACACACACACACAC